GAATAAAATTAGGAATAATTTTATTTATTATTTCTGAAATTTTTTTTATTTCTTTCTTTTGAAGATTTTTTCATTTAAGATTAACTCAAATAATTGAATTAGGAATAAAATGACCTCCTACAGGAATTAAAGTTTTTTAACCCATTTATAATTCCATTATTAAATACAGTAATTTTACTAACATCTGGAATTTCAGTTACATGAGCTCATCATAGATTAATTAATAATAACTATAAACAATTATTTTATAGATTAATAATTACAATTTTATTGGGAATTTATTTTTCTATATTACAATTATTTGAATATTTAGAAGCTCCATTTAATATTTCTGATTCATCTTATGGATCAACATTCTTTTTAGCTACAGGATTTCATGGACTTCATGTTTTAATTGGAACAATTTTCTTAACTATTTGTTTTATACGAAACTTATTAATTCATTTTTTCAAATAATCATCATTTTGGTTTTGAAGCTGCAGCTTGATACTGACATTTTGTAGATATTGTTTGATTATTTTTATATATTTCAATTTATTGATGAGGAAATTAATAATTAATTAATATAAAAAGTATATATAATTTCCAATTATAAAGTTTTATTAAAACCAAAAAAGAGGTATATTACTGTTAATAATATTATTGGATTAATTAATTCTAATTAATTTATATTTTTTTAACAATTTTTATTTTAAGAATATTTATTTCTATATTAATTATAAAATTATCAATTACATTATCAATAAAAATAAAAATAAATATAGAAAAAATATCACCATTTGAATGTGGATTTAATCCAATTTATTTTAAACGAATACCTTTTTCAATTCGATTTTTTTTAATTACCATTATCTTTTTAATTTTTGATATTGAAATTGCATTATTAATACCAATATTTATATCTATAAAATTTTCAAATATAATGATTTGATTTTATTCAAGAACTATATTTATTATTATTTTAATTATTGGATTAATTCATGAATGAAATAATGGAGCATTAAATTGAACTTAAAAATATTTAGTTTAAAAAAAAACACATATATTGCTAATATAAAATTTATTATTATCATAAATAATGAAATTATCTTCGAAATAATAAATTTTATAAATTATTAGTTTAAAATAAAACATTATATTTTCAATATATATAATTTATATATTAAGCTTCTAACTTAATTAATAATAGTTAAAATTCTATTAAATTATATTATTATATATAATTATATATAATTTACTTATATATAAATTTTCAATTTATTACTTTTATCAGCCATTTAAATAATAATTATATATATATAAAATATCAATTTATTACTTTTATCAGCCATTTAAATAATAATTTTCTCAATTATTATTAATATAAAAATAAAATTATAACTAATAAAACAACCAAATAAAAAAAATTATAAAATTTAAAAAAAACTAAAAAAATAAATATAATTAAAATTCTTAAAAGAAAGACCTCCTAAAAATTCTATTCAACCTAAATCCAAATAAAACTTATATTTATTAATAAATTTTAAAACTAAAAAATTCAAATAAAAACAAAAAAATAATAGGTATAAACCACATTAAAGAAAAATAAAATTTAAATTTTAAAAATAAAAAATTTAAATAATAAAAATTTTTAAAATTAAATATTAATATACCAAATATTAAACCTAAAAAACAAACAATTAATGTTAATAATTTAAAATTTAATCTTAACAAAACTAAATTAAAAAAAGGAAAAATAAATCATATTAATATCGAACCACCAAAAATAGATAAAAATATTAAAAATCTTATAGGAAATAATATAAAACTACTTTCACCTATTGAAACAATCATAAAACCTAAAAAATCAATCAAACAATAATTAATTAAACGAAAAGAATATATAACTGTTAAACCAGTTGAAAAAAAAAAAAAAAAAATCATAATATTTACATTAGATATTAATACAAATTCTAAAATTATATCCTTTGAATAAAATCCCGCTAAAAAAGGTATCCCGCATAAAGCTAACCTAGAGATATTAAAATAAATTAATACAATAATTAATTGATTAGAGAATCCTCCTGAAAATCGAATATCTTGAAAATTTATTATTCTATGAATAAAAACCCCTGCACATAAAAATAATAAAGCTTTAAATAAAGCATGAGTTAGTAAATGAAAAAAAGCCAATTTTACATAACCTAAAGATAAAATTCTTATTATTAACCCTAATTGACTTAATGTAGATAACGCAATAATTTTTTTAAAATCTATTTCATAATTTGCCCCTAAACCAGATATTAATATAGTTAAACTTCCTAATAATAAAAAAAAAAATAAGTAAATTTTATTATAAATTAAATAATGATTAAATCGAATTAATAAATAAACTCCCGCAGTAACAAGAGTTGATGAATGTACTAAAGCAGAAACAGGAGTTGGAGCAGCTATAGCTGCTGGTAATCAAGAAGAAAATGGAATTTGAGCCCTTTTAGTTATAGAAGCCATAATAATTATTAATAAAAAAATTCAATTTAAATTTATAAATTCTAAATAAAAATAAAACCTTCAACTTCCTAAATTAAATATTAAAGAAATAGAAATTAATAAAGCAACATCTCCAATCCGATTAGATAAAGCAGTTAATATACCGTCATTATAAGATTTATAATTTTGAAAATAAATTACTAAACAATAAGAAACCAACCCTAAACCATCTCCACCTAAAAGAATAGAAATTAATCTAGGGGAAATAATTAAAAACATTATAGATAAAATAAATAAAAATACTAAATAAATAAAACGAATTTTATTTTTATCTAAATTTATA